TGTTTTAATTTTGCTTTTGAATTTTTTTAGAAGAGCTTTGTGAGCTATAACTCACGTACCGTACAAATCACCCATTTAAATTATACAATTTGGCCGGGCGAGGTGGCTCACGCCTTTAATCCTAGCACTCTGGGAGGCCGAGATGGGAGGATCGCTTGAGGTCGGGACTTTGAAACCAGCCTGAGCAAGAACAAGACCTGGTCTCTCCAAAAAATAAAAAAAATTAGCCAGGTGTAGTAGTGTGCACCTATAGTCCATACTCCCTTGGGAGGCTGAGGCAAGAGGATCGCTTTGAGCCCATGAGTTTGAGGTTGCAGTGAGCTATAATGATGCCACTGCACTCTACCCCTGGCAACAGAGGGAGACCATGTCTCAAAAAATATATATATATGCGCACACACACTCTTCAGAGTTGTGCAAATTCCATTTATAATCAATTTAGAACATTTTCATCACCCTAAAAAGAAACCCCTAGAAGTCACTCCCCATTTTTCTGCCCAACCCCTCCCCTAGCCCTAGGCAACCACTCTTGTACTTCCTGTTTATATGGATTTGCCTGTTGTGGACATTTCATATAGATAGAGTCATACCATATTGGTTCTTTGTGATTGGCTTCTTTCACTTAGCAAAAAACATTTTCTCAATGTTCATCCATGCTGTAGTATACATCCATATGTCATTTATTTTTTATTGCCAAATATTACATTTATGGCTATAACACGTTTTATTTATCCATTCTTCAGTTGATGGACGTTTGGGTTGTTTCAACTACTATGAATAATGCTACTATGAGCATTCTTGTGCAAGTTTTTATGTGAATATATGTTTTCTTTTTCTTTTTCTTTTTTGCAATTAATTAGCTTTCTCAGGTTGAATGCTTTCTTTGCTTTTGGGCATATATCCAGGAGTGGAATTGCTGAGTCATATGGTAATTCTATGTTTAATCTTTTGAGGAACTGCCAGATTGTTTTCCAAGACAGCTGCATTATTCAGCAGCATATGAGGGTTCCAGTTTCCCCACATGGGCATCAACGCTTACATCTGTCTTTTTTATTATAGACATCCTCACAGTCTCTCTCTGTCGCCCTGGGTAGAGTGCAGTGGCATCATCGTAGCTCACAGCAACCTCAAACTCCTGGGTTCAAGTGATCCTCTTGCCTCAGCCTCCCGAGTAGCTGGGACTACAGGCACGCGCCACCAATCCTGGCTAATTTTTCTATTGTTAGTAGAGACGAGGTCTCGCTCTTGGGAAGCCAAGGCAGAAGGATCACTTGAGGCCAGGAGTTTGAGACCAGCCTAAGCAACATAGTGAGACCCGATCTCTATGAAAAAAAAAAAAAAAATTGAAAATTAGAGTTACTTTACAAATCAGAGAAATTAAGTGATTTGCCTAGGGTCACATTGCTAGCTAATGGTAGGGCTGGGATTCAAAACCAGGGTTGCTTTGAGGATTAAATGAGTTAATAAACGTAAGGCACTTAGCAGCTGACACATAGTGAGTACTCTGTAAATATTATTTATTATTAGCATCATCATTGCCCCAGAGTGTAAAAAATCTCCCGTTTGTTTTTGAAATAGATAGTAACAGCTATCCAGAGAAATGAAACAATTCTATCCTTTTTCCTTTTCTTTTATCATTTCCAGGTTAAAGGATTAATCCTGTGATAGCTGCCAGTTGTGACCAATGAGGTTTCTTTATTAGTATCATTACGAACTCCCAGATTTTTTTTTTTTTTTTTTTTTGGGACAGAATCTCACTTTCTTGCCTAGGCTAGAGTGCCATGGCGTCAGCCTAGCTCACAGCAACCTCAAACTCCTGGGCTCAAGCAATTGTCCTCCTGCCTGCCTCAGCCTCCCAGGTAGCTAGGACTACAGGCACGCACCACCATGCCCGGCTAATTTTTTCTATTTTTAGTTGTTTGGCCAATTTCTTTCTATTTTTAGTAGAGATGGGGGTCTTGCTCTTGCTCAGGCTGGTCTTGAACTGCTGAGCTCAAGCAATCCTCCCACCTCGGCCTCCC